AGTTAGTTTCCATAACGTTCTGTGAGGCATTGATGATTAGGTTATTTCTCGAACAGCGTAAGGTATGTAAATGCTGCAGCAACACTAAGTTGATGCATAAATTGCTTTTCCAGCATCATTTAGGAGCGAAATCCGACTGTTTTTAGCGTGTTTGACTGCAGAAATTTGGTTGCAGTATTCATGCAAAGTGCTGCATTGAGAAATTGCCAAACTTGACTTCGTATGCTCTCCATCTTCGGCAAAGAAATGTAGGCTTAGCACGAAATCAAAAAGGGACGTTAGCATTTTTCTCCAACCTATTACCTCGAAAACAATTTATTTTAGTGCCTCACACATGGGTGGCATGTGTTCTTTTAATTTCGGTTAGTTGGAAGCACCTAGTTTAGAGCTTAGCATAGATGCAAAATATTTCTGGTCGGCAGTGTAAGGGTTGTGATGGTCCATTGCCCTCTTTGATCTTGATAATCCACGTGTTTGCTCCATGTTTGGTAATACTCCTAGAGGTTTTGATGGATCTCGAAGTCGTTTCTTATCAGTCGGTAAAATGTTAGTGCTAGTAACTCCTTCCTTACAAAATCTCCGAAACGTCAGCGTCATTTCTATATCTATGCAATAGTGTGTTGGATAGGCTTTTGTCTGTATGAATCAAGGCAGCAAATATGTGATGTTTGGCTTACTTCACCCTTGGAATCGGTGCCAATTATTCTTACTCCACCTAAACGCTGCTGTGTTATCTGCATAATTTGACCTGATTACCTTGTGGTAGCTGAGTCCATCACATGGATTTGTTTTGATTACGGTGGGTGTTAGGTGCACCTACTCATTTGCTTTTGGGGTGTGTGGGCTGATTGAATTCCTGTTATTAAGATGAATGATAACTGTTGCCTCTGATCCAACCTGCCATCTGTTGCCTCTGAATTATTCGTTTTACAACAGTCGTCACTGCTAATATATTCACTTGACCTACTGTGAGGCAAGGGCAGTTTTATGTAGGTCATTTTGGAAATGTGGCATCTGGCAAGAATGCGGTAATACGATCCCGGTTTTATTGCCTGTCTATTGTTTGACTCTTCTTGAATACCAATTGCGTGGGCGTCTATTACTTGGATCTATGTCAAGTCAAATGAAGGAATGGTAACCCTCTGATGTCCTCAAAACTGTGTTGGAAGTGTGAATGTTTATTTTTTCCACATTTTGATGATGCGTGGGATGCAATGTAGGTCCTTTGTTTGCCTTAACTTCAGTGCTTGTTAATTTTTATCGGCTTGATTGTGTGCTCCATAACCTATCTTATGCAGATAAGGTGCCTTGAGGGAATGATTGTATGTCTTTTGCGTAAATTGAAAGTCTCTAGTCCTTTTGAGTTATGCATGAGGTGTACTGTCAATTAACTCCCTTTCCACTTGCTTCTGCTGCCCTCGGCTGCAGACTGCTTACTTTAGTTCTTAGCCCCTGGTACCTTTAATCACATTTTATTCACTTGTAGGTTAATAGAACAAGTAATTAGTCATTCCCCTTAGTATATACGTCAGGTGTTTTCACATAAAATGGTCTACTTGACCTCACTGGGGTGCCTACATGAATAATCTTTGTAGATGTCGACCAATGCGAATAAAATATGAGATATGCTGCTACAGTTACCAACATTAGCAGCAATGATGCCATGGGTAAGTGGTGGGACCTCATTTTGTACCGTGCACATGAATTCTCCAAGAATTCAGATGATACTCCTAAAGAGGATGGCAGGTAACGAAGTCATCAAATTCGATCCAGTGGATATCTACTGCACGCACAGTCCAGCAATGTGACACGTAATCCTGCACCG